GATAAACTTTAGAATGAACAGTACTTCCGCTTTTTTTTTTGGAAGCCTACCCTTGAATAAAAAAAAGTTTTTGAACAAATTAACCTCACCTGATAAACTTTAGAATGAACAGTACTTCCGCTTTTTTTTTTGGAAGCCTACCCTTGAATAAAAAAAAGTTTTTGAACAAATTAACCTCACCTGATAAACTTTAGAATGAACAGTACTTCCGCTTTTTTTGGAAGCCTACCCTTGAATAAAAAAAAGTTTTTGAACAAATTAACCTCACCTGATAAACTTTAGAATGAACAGTACTTTCATTTTTTTTCAGGGTGTATTGTTTTATTTAAAACACGTACAAGTACTAGTGCATTGTATAAACTACTTATAGTAGCATAAAAACAGGGAGTATTGTTTTATTTAAAACACGTACAAGTACTAGTGCATTGTATAAACTATTATAGTAGCATAAAAACAGGGAGTATTGTTTTATTTAAAACAAGTACAAGTACTAGTGCATTGTATTTTATTTTATGGTTTGGTTTGTTTTGAATTTCGCGCAAAGCTACACGAGGCCTATCTGCGATAGCCGTCCCTAATTTAGCAGTGAAAGACTAGAGGGAAGGCAGCTAGTCATCACCACCCACCGCCAACTCTTGGGCTACTCTTTTACCAACGAATAGTGGGATTGACCGTCACATTATAACGTCCTCACGATTGAAAGGGCGAGTATGTTCGGTGAAGGGGATTTAAACCCGCGACCCTCAGATTGCGAGTCGAGCGCCCTAACCACCTGGCCTTATATTTCATGCAATAGTGTATTGTACTAATGATCAATTGACCATTTAATTGCAATTATTCCTTTATGTATATCATCCGTGCGATTTCCTAATCAATTCCATTATATTATAATTAAAAATGTTTAATTATGAACTTTATGGTTGTTTTTCATTCAAGTTGATTCTATCAACATCAAGATGTTGTACTCTAGTTACGAAATAGTTATTAAGCACATAAATAACACAGTTGATTAAGGTAAGCACTTTGAGTTTCTTGTAATCTTCATACGATTGCGGACGACCATACATAAACACGGTATAGAATAAACACATAAAAAACAAAGTCTGGCCCATTTTTTATTTAGAAAACAAACCTCTCTCATTTCGCGTACAAATGTTTGAAGTTTGCGAAGCTTTGTACGGAAGTTTTAGTCTTTACTTGTTGCACCAACGTTTCATTAAGGCATGTTATATTTTAGAAATCTTAGAGTAGCTTGAAACGTCTAAAAAAAATAAAGAAAAACGTAAGATTAGAGGTTATTTACTGTTCAGTAGCTTGTCTTGAATATTAAACTGTTAATATACAAAATCAAAGATGATCCTTACAATGCTGAAATTAAACAGGATATTAACCAGGATCGAGGAATGGTATTAAGGAATAACTCATATTTAACTTGGATCATGGAATGACATTAACGAATAACTGTTATTTAACCTGGGTCAAGGAACCGTATTAACGAATAATTGATATTTAACGTGGATCAAGGAATACCATTAACGAATAACTGATATTTAACGAGGGTATATATTGACAAAATTAGCGAATAATCTGTACTGATTTTTTAAATATTTGTTTGTTTGGAATTAAGCACAAAGCTACACAATGGGCTATCTGTGCTCTGCCCACCACGAGTATCGAGACCCGGTTTTTAGTCGCTGTAAGTCCGCAGACATACCGCTGTGCCACTGGGGGCTTTTTAAATATAAAACACTGCAGACGCTAATGGAAAGGCTTGAAAGAAAAAAATGCAAGCTCCTCTTTTAACTGGTTAAAAAGCAAAGTCCAAGTCCAAGTAGGAAGATGGACAATAAAACTTGTATATATATATATATACATCGAGAGGATTTACATTATGAATGGACCCCAAAAGGAAGAAACTATCGTGTGATTTTCCTTCTGTATTCAACGATGTACCCAACTTATTGTTAATCTAAGTTTCATTGTGTTTTCCTTTGAGTCTTTTAAAGACTTTCATTTATCTCACCTTCCTCATGATACCATCTTTGTGATTACCACGATTTTATAACCACTATACTACCTCTTAGCTGCTTCCGTCCTATTTTTGTCTCTTATTCTTCATTCCATTTATAAACCTTGTCTTTCGTAATGTATCCTGTTCTAATCTTAAACAGTCTATTTCATAGGAATGAATA